ACACATCAGCCATTAATGAGGCTCTTGTAGCATTAAATACGACAACCCCTTCACGCTGGAGGATACAAACTCACCATGAACGATGCAAGCTAGAATATAGACTTTTAGCCAACAAGACAGTTTGGAATAGACAAGGAAATGATGAGCAAAGGATATAAGGAAGCTTTCGAGATACGTTAAAAATTAAATTCTTCATCCCTCTCTTCTCTCTCGACACAATCAATCTATTCTATCCTAACTCGATCGTCGGAGTGTCTGCCAAGGGATTACCTCCCCTCGTGAACCTTTTTGCAGGTACGCTCCGTGGACTTCAAGGCCAGCAAACTTGTTAGAAGCATGGATTAGCCCAACTTATCCTTCGCTGGAATTACAGCATCATAAAAACCCAACAAATAGGTAGAAGCCTTCATTTGCTAGGAAATGAAGGCTTTTTGTTTCTTTGACATTGTGTGTGGTTTATAAATTTGGATAGAGATTTAAAAAGAAAAAGGGAAAAGATAATTACATTTCACACACTTTTTTCTTTTTCTTTTTAAAATTTCTTTTTAAATTTATGAACTAAATGCAGTCTTAAGTCTTAAGGTAGACATGGTTAATCTTATTGATTCTTAGCTTATTCAAAGCTCGTTTAACTTATTCACATTATTTTTACCATTTTTCCCATATAAATTATAAACAAAAAAAATCATAGTAAAACACTCTTATTTCTCACCTTGACCTTTAAAGTTTGTTTTTTCTCACTTTAGTCCTTTATGTTTTATATTTTTCCTAAGTTACTTCCAAAGCTAACTTATATACAAAATCAGACAAAAAATGATACACTGACAACCACGTGATTTAAAAATACATATTATTATATTAGAATTTGGATTTGTATTAAATGTGTGAGTTATATATAATAAAATATTATTACGTCATATGATAGTCAATATGTCATTTTATATCTAATTTTATATATAAATTAGTTATGAGTAGGGGTGAGCAGCGGATATACCGATCCGCCAAAACCGACCGAACCAAACCGATCCGCCGCATTTTGGACGGATGCGTGATGATGAGCGGATGGTTGCGGATTGATTTTCTCCAATCCGCCAATTTGGCAGACGGATGGCGGATTTGAGATTTTTTGGCCGCAACCGAACCGCCAAACCGTCAAATCGCGAGCACCTGTAGTAATTTATAAGACTTTGTATTTTTAATTTGTTTAAATATTATGTTTGTGTTTTCAATTGAAAAAGAGTTTAAATATTCTGTTGAAAAAAAAATTTCAACTTGAATATATTTTTGAATTGAAAAAAATAAACATATTATTCATCTATATTTTTTAGTTTTTAAATCTAACTCTAAAAATAATAAATAAAAAATATGATATATGATGGTTGGTTTTTGTTTTCAAAAACATATGTAGATGTAACAATATAGAGACATTCAATCTCTACTACTGCTCTGTTTATGGTTTTGGTGGTTTGAATTGTTATTATATTTTAAGAATCACAGATTGTAATACTTTATAGGGATGAATCATGCTGTAATTGTAATATGTGGATGAAGCATACAGTGATCGTGATATTCTAAAGTTTCAAACTTTCTTTCTTTAGATAAGGCATACAGTGATTGTAATACTTTTTTAAGTCATTGACTGTAATACTTTTTTTTTTTCTTTTTTTTTTAAGGAAGTGCACAAGTTGAATTATGTTGAAAATTTATAAAATTTTAAACCGCCAAACCGATTCGCATCCATCCGCCAAACCGCCAATCCGCTCAATCCACATCCGCCGGATTCGCGGACGGATGCGGATTGATTTTCTTCAATCCGCCAATTTGGCGGACGGATGGCGGATTGGAGGTTTCGTGGCCGTAACCGACCCGCGCCCACCCCTAGTTATGAGAGTAAATTGAGAAAAATTTAAAATATGAAAATAAATTAAATTAAAAATCAAAATGAAAAAGAAAAAATGGACAAATATAAAGGGTATGGCTTCTGTCTAGTCCAGGATCGGACTGGACCGTGCTGTTGGGCCAGTGAGGACCCACCACGGGTCCCGTTTTGATAATCTGAACCGTTGAATGTGTAGAAATCGTCGAGTATTACATGCCTGTTAAAAATCACGTTGATCGGATATCGATAGCTATATGATCAAATCAGTTTCGTATTAAAAAAATTCGACGGTGAACAAATTAACAGTTGACAAAAAACTGTTTCGATCACATAGCTATCGATATCCGATCAACGTGATTTTTTACAGACATATAGTACTCGATGATTTTTGCACATTGACGGTTCAGATTATCAAAACGGGATCCGTGGTGGACCCCCACGGGCCTAACAGCACCGTCTAATCCGATCCCGGACTGAACAGAAGCCATACCCAATATAAATTACCCTAAACTAAATCGGTATAATAGAGAATCTTAAAATTAGAAAAAGTCATAAATAACTCCTTTTAAGGTGCAGCAAACATACACTCTGATTTTGGACACTCGCTTGTTTTGCACCGATATGGGTCCGCTTATTAAGCTTTACAAAGCTTTATGCAGTTGGAATCTGAACAACCAGTCCCCGTTTGCTTTGCTTGTTAGAGAGGAAAAATAAATAATAATAATCATAAATAAAAAAATATTGTGAAAGTAAAAATAAAAAACTTGGGAAAATTATAACTAAAAAAAAATATTAGATTTTATTTCTTATAATAAAATAAATCTTAAATTTTTAATTTTATCAATTTAAAATTGAAATTTTTAATTTAGTTTTAATCTAAACCATCAATTTATTTTGGTTAAATAAAATTGATGAAAAAATAATATTTTAGCCATTAAACTTTATATTTATCTGTATAAAATGTCTAAAATCCTCATTTTCATTGAATTTAATGATTAAAAAATTAATTTTTTTTGTTGATTTAACTTAACGAATATAAATAAATGATTTAGCTTAAAAACAAATCATAAACTTAAAAGTTAAATTGATAAAATTAAAATTCAAGATTTAATTCATTATAAGAATCAAATCTTGAATTTTTTTTTCTTATATATATAAATTCTCCAAAAAAGTTTTAAGAGTGAGGCTGATGTTTAGGTAAATTAAATTACGAAAGGAAGAGAGAAATAATTGGAGAAACATCATATCAGATTAATAAAATAATAATAATAATTAAAAATCTTACGGTAATAGTATATTAGATTAGACACTAATTCTGATTTGTGGTCCACTCTCTTAAATCGACATGTAGGGCTCCTCGACCTTCTGGTTGTTGGCCATACGCATCTCCCCCAATCTCAACAACTCGATACCAAGGCTTTGTTTGAAAATTTGACTATTTTAGTTATTTTTGGCTATTTTATGAGATAATATATGTATATATATATAGAATGGTTTTTGGATTTTTTTTAATTGAAGAAGTGGTTATAAGTGAAAGAGTGATTAATTAATTTATAAGAAGTGACATTTTATTTTATTGACTATTTAAATTTTTTTTTTAATCATTATTAGCTATTTTAGCCAAAATAGAAGTTTCCAAATGAGGCCTAAGCCCTTCGATACCAAGTACTGTTTGAGAATTGATTATTTTAATTAGTTTTTTTTTATAAAAATATGTATCAAAAGTAGAGAGAGTGATATGATAATTTATAATGATTTTTTGATTATAAATCCAACTTTCCAAACAAAATCTAAAGAAAGTTAAGTTTTGTTGTTTTCATATAGACATGACGATAATCTAAATCGTTGATCTTATAATTTTAATAATAAAGATAAATTATGCAAAAGAAAATTTTAATATCAACTTGAACAAATGTGTTGTGAAAAATGAGTTAACCATCCAACTATTATTGCACATATTGTAATCATCTCGAGACTTATTTTAGTGATTCAAATTATTCATTTTATTAATTTTGTTAGGAAAAACATTTATACAAAAAATTAAAATGATCAAATATCGATTATTATATAATTGAATTATATTCATTTAAAAAAAAAAATCCATACATGATGAATTTAAATTAGTATTGTAGAGATAAGTTACGAGGTAGACCCACTAAACTCAACGCCACCTTTCCAATTGAGTCGTATTTTGGGATGTTGTTTTTTTGGGCTTATGGTCTATTTTTAAAAAAATATATGAAAAAAAATATAGAGGTGGTATAATTAAAATAAGTTAATAAATTAATAAGTTGATTTTTTTCTTATTACTGAAATAAGCCAGAATACTCAACCTTCAAAGTTATAAGAGCATGCTCATCAAGCTTTTCAAAATCATTTTCTAGCTAATAAACTTCAAAAAATCAACTCTATCAAACTCGTTTGCGGCTCGTCAAAATTTACAATCGCTACAGTAACTCATTACAACAAGCGAGGCACTGTTTATCGCTACTTGTGTGTTACTGAATGTCCGCCTGAAAGTCCGGCCAGTCAACCGATCAACGACATTTTTTTTTTTTTTTACATTTCTTCGAATTTTACCTTTTACAAAGGAACATAAGAATTATTTGGTTGACAACTTAAAAGAAAAATGACAAATATTTTAATAGGATTGAATTAAAATAGGCAGTTTGATGTAGTGAGGTGATTAGCTAAAATAGAAAAATGACATTTTTAATTATAATTTAGCTAAAAAATTAAAGAGATTCGCGTGGACACATGAAAAAGATTAGATGGATCAAGAAGTTTCCCTTAATATAATGACTTACTAAATCACGAAACATGTAGTTAATCAGAAGAAATCATGAGATAGTTCGGTTGCTTAGACCCATCTGACAAGCATGATAAGTGTATTAACGGTCAATTTAACGATCCTTATTCTATCGAAGTTCTGCTCTTCCATACATGCCCATCTTCAAATAAAAAAGGAAAAACTTTTTCGATAGAAAATCCTTTTAAGTAGGAAGGAAATGAATCTTTCATATCATTCCTATGTAAAACAATTAGTAAATATAAAATATCGTATTACAAATAAAAAATTAAACAAACCCTAGGTTTAAAAAAAAAAAAAAAACAGAACAATTTTTCTGAAACACATATCTGTACAAGTACTAGATTAGTTTGAATACCCAACTCACAATAGCTTCCTTACTAAATTCAATTACTACAAAGAAATGCTAAGTATAACTCTGTAACTCCATGGATCACTAACAGTGGGTAGTCAATGGTGAACAAATCTTGGGAACTTACTAGTCTCATTTAAAGAATCAGAGCTTTCACAGAAAACCCTTTTCCTATTAGTTTTGTCCTCACAAGAACCAGTGTCTAGGGAAGGCTCTCGGTGGAGGAGTTGCGGCGGCGGCGGCGGAATCTGATAGGAGTCCAGCGGCGGCGGAGGGTGGCGCCACTCCGGCAGTGGCCCTGCAAGGAGGAGGGTCTGAAGCAGTGGCCCTGCTTTCATCACTGCCTGCAACAGCTTCCCCTGTTCTGGCAAAGGCTTGTCAGACACGAATGGAATTGCTGGTGGCGGTGGTGAAATGATGCTTTCTTCGCAATCTGAAGATGAAAAGCCATTGTTGGAGTCTAATCCTCTTCTGGGTTCGTCCTCAATGCTTGAAATTCCAGAAAGTGGAGCTAAGAGTTTATCTAAGAAGAGTTTGTGACATTTGTCTTGAGCTTCGTCTCTTTCTCTGATTGCTTCGGAGAGCAGAGACTTGAGATGATTCAATTGTTCGTCTCTCATTTTTAGCTCTTCTTGAGCTTTAAGCCGAGTTGTTTCTAGCTCCAGAGTTGTGAGTAAAAGAGACTGTCTTAGCTCATCCATGCTCTGTTTTCACCAAAATCAACAAACATTAGCTCTCAATTTGTAAAGAAATGGGGAACCCAATGGAGTCCAATGCAAAGCAACAGCACTACATACTCATAAAATTTACCAAAAAAACTACTTTACACCATACACTTGCATTTCAGATTAATTTTTCAATGATTGGGTAGAATTTTTGGGTAGATTTATGTATGTTGAGAAGTAGAAGAAGAAGAAGAAGAGATTTGTACCTTTCCCTGAGAATAGTAAGCCCAAGTGAGAAGAGGACTGCATTGATTGTCCATGCTTCCTCGGCAATTGAGAGAGAGGGGTAGAGAGAGAGAGAAAGAGAGAGAGAGAGAGAGAGAGAGAGAGAAGGGGAGATGTGGATGCTTCTAAGTGGTGGTTGTCATGCCCCTTTTAAGGACGGGTGGTTGGTACTGTTTCTTTAGCAGTAGCAGCTTTTTTTTTTTTCTTTTTTCTTTTTTCATTTCGCCTCTGTTCTTCGGTAATTATTCGATAATTCACTGTATCTTAATAGGTAAATTTATTATCAAATAAGTTTTATAATAATTAATGATATTTTTTATTAAATATTATTAAAAAATATTATTAATAGTTAATTTTTAATGATAATTTAAAAATTATTACAAAAAAATATCACTAATTATAAGTATTAACGATAATTTAAAAAAATTATCACAAAAAATCACTAATTTTCGACTTTCAACAATAGTTTGAAAAATTTATCATAAAAAAGTTACTAATGATAAGTTTTAGTGACACTTTATAAAAATCGTGATAAAAAAAGTCACCAATTTCTGATTATATAAAAAAAATCGTCAAAAAAATTATTTTTAATGATAATTTAATTTAATTTTAATAAAATTTAATAAAAATTAAATTTAACTATTAAAATTTATTAGTAATTTGCTCTGTCATGTTTTAAATTAATTATATAATGAACAATTTTATAAGTGAGTATAATAAATGATACAGTGTGTGCTGATGTCATATCTTATTCCAATAGTATCTATCTTTTTTTTTTTCAGTCTTTTGTAGTCCGTGACTCCGATTAGGGTTGGCTTTCTTTCAATCCGATCATGGATTTTAAAGTATTGTTGGATTTATGGAGGTTCATCACGAGTTTCGTTTCGATAATCTAAATCGTTCAATATGTAAAACTCGTCGAATATTATATGCTTGTTAAAAATCACATTAATCAGATGTTAATAGCTATATAATCAAATCAGTTTTATATAAAAAAAAATAGACTGTAAAAAAATAAACGATTGATAGAAATCTGATCTGATAAGATAGTTATCGATATCTGACCAATGTGAATTATTACAGGTATATAGTACTCGACGAGTTCTACATATTAAACGTTCGGATTATCGAAACGAAACCCATAGTATGCCCCATAGGGCCAATGATACCCTCCAGTCTGATTACACACCAAAGGGAAGCCCAACCCTTCCAATTAAGGGTTTTCAAATGGCATGTAGACAAAAAAAATCTGGTATTACTCGGCTCGATCCGCGTGACTTTGGGTACATCTCAACCCGCTTGAGTACTTAATCCGTCCTAACTTATAAAAGATTATTTAAGATTTTGAATAAATGTTTGTAACCTGGGCCCGTCTATAAACCCGGTTCGTAAGAGGCCGCATAGGTAAATCTAATATTTAGTTTGATTTTTTTGGTCTAATTTTTAATTTAATTTTTTTTGTTCTCATGTTTAAATTATTGTTTTTTTCTTTCTTTTTTCTCCCGTCCACTTATAGGTATTATATGTTACTTTATTATTTTTTTGATTATATGAGATGTGAAAAAATAAAAATATAAAATAAAATCAAAATACATGAATTATGTTGAGAAGTAAATAAGAAAAATAACTAATGAAAATATTTAAAATATATGAATGAAAAATATGTAGAACTTAATAATATAAGTGTAACGAAAAATATGTAGTCCAATTCAGTTTGATTTTTGCCTGTAAGATTTAGGCTTATGAGTGACTTGTGATTTTAATTTTTTTAAATAAACTTTATTCGTATCAATCTGTTGACTAGTCAAAACTTAAAATAAAAATCCGTTAAAAAATAAAATTTAAACACAATAATTACACTGGATGGGTAAGTCCGACTACTCTCATCACGTCAATTTTGATTATGTCTAGCTCAATATCATTTTTTGTGAGAAAATTATATCAGACCCAATTATCAAATTATGTGTATGTGGAAAAATTGATAAATTAAGGTCAATCACTTCAAAAAAGAAATATAGGATTTCGCGAGTCTACTTGGAATTTTTTTACCGAGAATTGTCTTTGTCAGATGCGACTTGTCTTGGTTTGGGAGAAGTTAATTTAGCATAATTTTTTAGTTTTTTAATTAATTTAACTTGGTAAAAATAGTTTTGTTTAGAAAGAATTTTTTATTTTTTTATTTGAATATGATGATTATAAAGAAAAAAAATTAAATAATTATAGTTTAAATGTGATATTTTATTTTATTAATTTATTTTATCTTTTTATGTTTATTTAGACAAAAAAATATATTAATTTACCAAACAACAACTTGGCATTGTTTGGGAACTTGGTTTGGGGCTAAAATAGCCACAAAAAACAAAATAGGCTATTTTAACCACAAAAAACAAAACATCAAATCCAACCCATAATCATTACAATCCTCTCTCACAAAAAAAGTCAAAAAAGTCAAAAAGTCAAAAAGTCCTTCCCAAACCAGGCTAAAATAGCCCAGGCTAAAATAGCCAAAAAGCCAAAAAGCCAAAAAGCCAACCCACTTCCCAAACGGAGGCTTAATATTTTTAATTAAATAAGTCAACAAAATGAACCTTGTAAATCTGCTCAAATGAAGTTTTGTTGGTATCTATTTTTTTGAAGACGTAACAAAAAGTGAGATTTTGAGTTTTAATTTAGGCGCCGTTTGGGATATATATCCGGACTATTTTAATTAAATATTATAAAATATCATATCTAACTCATAATTATTTTATTTTTTTCTCTTACAAAAATTAAAAAAGTCAAAAAAATCTATTTCAAACAAGATTTTTTAGTCTCAGACGTGATGCTTTGGAAAATTGATAAAAAAACTGACTTTTTAATTTTTTGACAAAAAAACTGACTTTTTTGTGTAAAAAAACTAAAATGCCAAAAAATTAGCTTTTTCAACTTGTTCCCAAAAGACCCCTATAATAGTTAAAAAGTTAAAAGTCAACTCACATTCCAAACGAACTCTTAGACATATTTTAGGAAGACGGTAAAAAATGATTTTTTTTTAATTTTAATCAAACTTTTAGCTTTTTTGACAAATGATCTTAAAAGTTGATAAAAAGTTATTTTTTACTTTTTTGATTAATATTTATTTATGATATCAAATCACAATAAAATAACCAAACTACTCATATTCAATTTAAAATATTTATAACTTTACTCATGTAACATATTTTGACTCATGAAGAATAGAATTATAATTTCATCAGTGACTAAAAACTAACTTTTCAAATGTCTTTAAATATAAAAAAGTCAACTTTTAATTTTTACCTCTAAGCCAAGTTCCAAAACACCCCTTAATAGATCATAACCTAATGTGGTGGTACAGATTACAGAATAAAGTTTTTATTTTTTTAATCTTGGAGGGGTTGGAAAAAAGCATAAACGGCCAAAAAGCTAAGCCCTAATTAGAAAAATGTGTTTGAGATTTAATTCTAAAATCAACTCTAATCAGTTGGTAGTAGATGTAATGTTCTGATCTTTTTTTTTATTATTATTTTTTTATCCTATCATTAGTGTTCCATTAAAATATTAAAATTAATTAACTGAATCAATGTTGTAAATCCAATGCCCTTTGGCCCTGTTTGGTAGAGCTGTGGGAAAATGCTTATAGCTTATGCCTTAATAGTTTATAGCTTATAAGTATGAACATAAGTTGATTTCTGACTTATAAATTAAGCATCTTCTGCCTCACTTAAAGAATAAGCTGATTTCTGACTTACAAAAAGCTATAAGCTGCATTGTTAAGTTAAACCAAACACATTAAAATAATTTAAATTAAACTAAAAATTAAAATAAGCAACTTTTAAACTGCACCAAACACTTTGTATGCACGTACGTATGTATCCCTATATGATAGTTTTGTAGGTCAGTCTCAAAGTCAGTCTTTCCTTGTAACAGAGTCGGTGGCTCAACGCACACTCTACCCGCCCCACCAATACCCAATCAGCGCCAAACGCGGTATAAAGTTTTTAAAAAAATTTAGCAATTTAATACATTTTTACAAGCTATTTCTTCATATTTATCTTAATTATTTTATACAATTTTTGAGTTATATATAATGAGAATCTTATTTTATAATTTATTAGATAGTACATTTTATGGGTTAAAATAATTTACTTCTATTATTTTTGTAGTAAAAAATAATAAAATATTTAATTTTGTCTTTGTATTTACAAAATATTCAATCTATTTCTTCTGTTTAGTCTCTTAATAAATTATTAATAGTACTTTTATTTATACAGAAATCATTCATAAAATTAAATATAACCCTCTTATACAAATCTCTAATAGTTCAGTATCGGTCGGAAATAATTTAACTTTTTTTACATAATGGTATTTTATTAATAATTTGGGTTAATTATAGTTTACTCCATTTAGCTATTATTAAATATCACTTGCCCCTTTCAATTTTTAAGCCATGCATTTAGACTTGTCAACTATTAAAAATTGTACAAAGAAATAATTTTAATAGTTGCAAGATCTAAATGTAAAATTTTAAAATTAAGAGCGTAAAGTGATATTCATTAAGTGATTATTACCAATTAATCCTAATAATTATTAGAGGATTGTATTGAACATGAACGGTGGTCCGGTCTAAATGTGAGGCTGCTACCTTGTTAAAACTGACTTTTCTATTCTTCTTGGCATTTTCTTAGTTTAAATGACTTTTTAATTTCTTCTCTTTTCTTTTCTGTTCTGTTCTGTTATTTTTTCTTTGCATGAAATGCATTTTGTTCTTATCTCTTCTTTCCCCTCACTTTCCAGAGAAGAAACAAAAAAAAAAAAAAAATCTTAATTATTGAATACATAATTTGAGACTCTTATATAATCAAATAAATAAAAGTGTACCAAAACAAAAGACAAAAATTTAAAGACAGAAAGTCTTGTGCGTGCAATTTCCTATATGTACTCCTATGTTGTCTAGGTGTAATTATTCAATAATCCTCAATTGATTTTTAGTCTTAACAATTACAAGTGACCATTAGGCCTATAAAAATGGTCCGAAATCCCTGGGCGGCCCGAAACCTGCCCAAAACCCTTTTGGGCCCGGCCCGTTTCGGCCCGGTTAAGTCCAGACTCGAGCCCATCCTACTATCTTGGACCTATGCCTTCTATTTTGGGGCCCGGCCCGGCCCGTTGGCCCAGCCTGACTGGACCAGGCTATTATTACACCTTTAATGACCATCTTGGTAAATATTATAAGATCTTACATTTACTGAACCTTTTTTTTGTTTTTTGGGAATTTATCGAAAATGAAATCTCTGACCCATATTTATCGAGGTAGTCAGCAGTAGATGGTCAGGATCAAAATGAGATTTCAAACTCACATTATCACATAAGCTTGCATATATAGGATTAATATTATAGGGATGAAACAACTTATCTTGACATCATTTTTGAAATTTTATTATGTTGATTAACTATGTTACGTTTGATTTGATATTTTAAAAAGATGGCTAAAAACTAATTTTTTGGTTTTTTTGTTTTTTTTTCTTTTGAAAAAATATGTAAAAAATATGAGAGATAATGTAATTCAAAATGAATTAAAAGTTGAAATATGATTTTTAATCATCTTCTCAAAATAACCCGGCACAACTATGCCATAACCATGTTCACCTAAGGACAGAAAAACCTAAATAAAGCACAATCTAAGGGAAAAAAGAAATTGGGTCCATTGATGTGGTAATTTTATATTTTTCTCTTAAATCTCTATCTATGGGAGGCTTGACCACATTTTTGTGTATCAAGTTCAACTAGATGCTTCTGCTCCATTCATTATTGAATTAAAAATTTCATGGTAAAACTTAAAAAAAAAAATTAGCTAATACTTTCTAAACATCTAGAACAAGTTCATTTTTAAGTAAAACTTTCTAAACATTCATCTTAACTTTTCAAACTTTATATGAGACAATTACAAACAATCTTTTACTCAAAAATCAATTTCAAACTAGGAAATTTGGAATGGTACTATCAAATGTGTTGTTACCACATTGATTTATCAAATCCCATCTTTTAAGTGGATATAGCGAGAAAAATAATCAGTATATAAAATTATGACCAAAAAGCACTAAGTTACCAATTTATCAAGTAATAGCTCCCAACGGTTATGTATATAATTGCATATGGGTTTCATCACTTAATGTGGGATCTACATAATATTATGTCCAATTTATATTTTTATCGATACATTTATCAGTATTCTTAACATTATTGAATAAAAGATAATAACCAAAGCATGGGATGAAATAACAGTTATAATAATAGTAGAGACAAGGTATGAAAAGAGCAATAATTATAATTATAGTTATTAAGGTTATTAATGATTTTTTTAAAGATAGGATAAGATCCACATGACACTAATCCCATCTCTAGATATGTATTGAGTGTAAAAAAAATAAAATAAAATAATCCTGAAGAAGTCATCCTCACAAGCAAAAAGAATAGACAAGAAAAATCATTATAAGATCACTTTGGCAAACATAATAACCATATATATTATACAATAATTAATGAATATTTTTTTTATAAAATTTAGTTTACTTTTATATTAATTTAAAGTGGGACTCTCTTATACTTCATCGTATGCTTATGCCCCACCATGTGACACCTTCACAAGCTCTTTTGATTTTTGATTTTTTTTGTTTTGTTTTTATTACTAATAAAAGTATAGAATAGCAATTCTACGTGACCATAACATATTTTATTTTATTTTTAATTGAAAAGTATTTCTTGAATATTAATATAAAATTGGACATTTAAAAATAAAGGAAATTGATCAAATCTAATATTTTACTGAAATATCACTATTTTACTAAAAAGGTACTTGAATTTGGATGAAGATAGGCAAAATTTAGAGTGGGAAAATAAAAAATAATAAATTAATAAAAATTAGTTATTGGGTTTTGATCAAAATTCATCATACCAATGAAAGTTTGGTTATCAAAAAAAACAAATCAGTCAATCATACAAGGTTTCTCTTAGTAAATGGTTAATCGTGTTAAGTACTTCGGATCAACAAAAGTAGCATTCCGCAGAAGCCTAATAAAACAGTTGTGTTTTTACAGAAACTTGACAAATAATACCCAAATAAATTAAGAAGAGATTCCATAATCTACAAAAACAATAATATTAGCAAAACAAGAACACAAAAGGATGACCGAGTCAGTCCATGGATCCCAACGATTAAGTAACAATGGAGTAAGCTCATCCTGACCTCCGCATTTTGATATTCAGAGGAGTTTCCTTGTAGGACTGAACCTTCTGAACTGCTCTCCGCATTGGTCTGCCTAGAGACGTTCTTTGTGATTCTCGAGCGTCAGATCCTGCTGGGGCCCAATTTTCATCGTTCTCTTCTTTTCTGATAGGTGAACCAAATGGAGTCGGAGCAAGTAGAAATTTCGCATCTTCTATCTCAAACAGGTCCTCATTAGGTTCATGCTGTTGGTATCTAAACCTAGCAGATTGTCTTCTCAAACAACGTCTGAACAAAAGGCAAGTGACATGCTTTTAATTATATTGAAAGTCGCTTTAAGAAACAATTACACACATGCACATGCTAAAAAAAAAAATTAAAAAAATGAAAAGAAAACCATAACTTGCATGCTTTTAAGGATTAGAGATGCATCTCGTGATAGTTATTGTTGGGATGGTTAAAATTTCCAATGTAGTTGGTTCGAATTCCCAAGAAGGCTATTGGAGAATTGTGCACCTTTATTTTTTGTTCATACAGCTAGGGTTTCACATTCATTGTATTTTGTTATTTCACCTAAACTTGTTATGCACAAGTTGTTTCTAATGAGTGTGGGTAAGATGTAAAGGGGAGAGAGAGTGTGTGTTCTTTGGGTTTGTGTTCAAACTCCAATTTGTTCTTGTACTATTTATCTCTCACAGTGAAGATTTGTTCAATTGTCTTAATTTGATCTTTGTTTCTCCCCATTGTTATAAGCTGTGAAGTGTGATATTTTTGAACCTTGGTTGATTTTTTGTTGCACCTTGCATGTACAATGTCTACGAGAGCAAACTTATAACCGCAACACAGGTTTGCATAGCTCATGGAACCCATTTTATGAATGAAATCCGCATTTTTCTATTATAATAGAAGATGTGTAAACCAACCTTTTGCTTTCAGATGTCTCCTTTTCTGCAACTTGTTTAGATGTAGTCGAAGGGCCCATCGCTGCAAGCATAAATGCTATCATCATTAGATAAAAAGAAAAAAAATAGATAAAAAGAAAAAGACATCAAAAAATATTCAAATGAACTAACTATTTGAGGATCCAAATTTACATTGACTTCTTGTTGGGCGCCTTCTCTGGCCTTCACAAAGTTTACTATTATCATTAGATGTAAGTTCATCAACTGCCTCCTCCCCTTCCTTTGAGCCAACCTAGGAGACAGAAATGAGAATGATTCTAACAAAATAGCAGACAACTCAAGAGAAGTTCAGTAGAACACCTGAGAGCAGTTTTTTTGACTGTTCGTCTTTGCTTTCCCCTGCAAAATCAAAGATGGTTTGTCATCTCAGAATTCAACAGTATAAACCACAACCACTCCACCACCCGCCACTACTGCACAACCACCACCGTCTAAGCGCTACCACCACCGCCACCGCCACATCACTATCAACTATAAGGTAAGTAAAATTATATTGCCCAACATGACTTATAAGTTTTATAGAAATATTTTCTGACCTGTTCAAGATATTTGTTTGTTGCACTCATTTATTTTTGATTTATTTATTTATAAATTTTTGGTAATATAAGATTGTAGTTGAGGTTGTGTTTTCATAAAGTAATGATTCACATGTGTAAGTATGATGGAACAATGTGTCTAACCCAAACAAACCTGAGCTACATTATTGGATTGGTTTGGTTCGGTTCCTGTGAAGGATTGGTTCAATCCTGTGTCCAAAACCTTGGAACATAACATGATTTGGTTCGGTTATGAGATTAGTATTAACCCAAACCAAACCAATTCATGGGCATCTCTACTACCAACCCATAACCACAATATGAAGATGTGGAAAATTACTATAATTTTCAAACTTTAGTTTGTTGTACATATCAAACAGCTTGATTGAATTCAGAATGTAAGTTTTAGTACATACCAAACAATTTTTTAGATTAAAAATTCCAGCATTCAGCTTTCAGACTGACTTAATTTTGAACTTTCAATTTTTGGTTTTCAGTACTATCAAACAACACCCTAGTTTCCCACTGAATATTTAATTCAGAGCAGTATTCACATCTTATGTTCTAGGACTGGAAATTGGCAAGACAAATCATATCCTCCATCTAAGATAACTTCTCTAGAAACTAGTGCATAAGGAATAATCTTAAGTACCAAGTTTGTAATGCATGTGAAACTCCAAATTTGCAGATCATATCATTTATAGATTAGAAAATGAAAGCTAACCCCCAGTTCCAAATTTTTTGATTTAAGCAGCGCATCCTTGCACACGTTATCGTGCTGAAGTGCCTTTAGCTGTGATGAGCATTACCAAATCAGTCGATAGCACTTGATGAACAAATGGGCTTGAAAATTCCCAATGTGAGAAGCGTTCAGAATAAGCTTACCTTTTCTTTACATAAATTAATCTCCTGAAAAATTAATGCAATACATTCAATATCAGAAAAAAATATTATGCATGAATTTTGAAAAAGAAGACTATAAACTGAAATTAAAGCAAAAACAAACCGCTAATATATGGCTATTGGATTGAGCAAGGTTCCAATTCTGCAGCTGCATTTTCTGAAGATTAATTCGCATCTTCTGCAACTCTATCCCAGTAAATTCAATGATTTGACTGTTGAACCAAATATAAAGAAACCCTCTGATAAACATACAAGGAAAGAAAAAAAGAAAAAGAACTTGAAGTCCAAAATAACGAATATAAAAAAAAAAAACATACTTCTTGTCTGCAACGAGTTTTGCCAGTGCTATGTTTTCCTGGTTCATATATCAACACAAGAACAATCAAGTAAGGTAATTTGATCATGCCAAGAAGACAACATACATAAAAGGGTTAATTTCACTTTTATCCAAAGAAGCACGGACACGGATACGTGACACAACATAGACATGCAGACACGGCAATTTTCAAAAAATGTAGGACACAATACGTGGGTGATACGCACAGAATATATAATTTTATATATTTATTGTATGTCATATATATGAACACGTCATTCTAAGACAATAAATAAATACAATATAATACTAATTTTCATAAATTGACATTATTTTTCTTTTATCATCTTATTCTAAGTTGTTTTGTTCAAACCTATAATTAGTTTCGTGTGTCTAGTCAATGGACACACATGTCTTTCAAGTGTCCAAAGAGTGTCTGAAGAGTGTCCAAATTCTAAATTCTTTATAAAAAGCTAGGACACGTTTGGATGAATGTCAGACACATGTTGGGAGAGTTTCTGATGAGTGTCGGTGTCCGACACGGACATGAGATGGATACGCCACCTTTTTAGAAGTATTCGTGCTTCTTAGGTTTTATCCCCTAAACTATCACCATTTTTTTCTATTTCTTCCCTAAACTGTCAATTTCATGTCCCTAAAGTTTCTGATTTCAGTTCATGTAGCATATAATTGGAGACGATTGTATAAATTATTAACGGTTCACGTTGAAGCACAATTTAATTGTCAAAAAAGTCATTTTAAAATTTAAACATTTTAGCCATACAACCAAACACCCATGGTTGTGGGGGTGTAATTTGTTCGAAATAGTAAGAAAAACAAGTGGTTCATAGTATGGTTTAAATTGACCCCGGGCAATTGCTCAAGTGGTCATGGAGAGCGCACTCCGGTGCCAAGGTGAGTGAGGTGAGGTTAGGCAAGTGAGGTCAAGTTTCAAGTTTGAGTCTATGTAGAGACGTTGGCTTGTGTTATAATCTAACTACTAACATACTAACTGCTATCTTGTGCCAAAAAATAAAATTAAAAAAAAAAAAAAAGCATTGTATGGTTTAAATTATTCAAAATTTGAAAAAACCCTTTTTGTCTATCAAATCAACCTTCAATTGGACTACATGAACTGAAATCAGAAACTTTAAGACTAAATAGATCTGTACAATCTTCCCCAATTGTATCACGCGAAGTGAAATCAGAAAATTTAGGACTAAATAAATGAAAGAAAAAATGACGATAGATGCAAATACATGTAAAATTAATCTACATAAAAATTGAAGTAAACCCACAAGGATTATACCTTGACAAGATGATCAATGCATTCCTTAGCCGAGGAATCTGGCGGCGAGACCTTCTTATGAGGGATAGGGGATTTGGGCTGTGGAATTGAATTGGTAATATCAGACAGTCTCTTCCTCACAATGCTTCCAAAAGAAGACCTCTTTGCCATTCTATTCCCTTTCATAGTCCTTCAAATCCCTAAATACCTAACCCTAAGAGATGAGATTCAAATACAAACCCTAGAAGAAAAAAAATCTAGGGTTTATAGAAGAATGCACTGTGAATTATTCAAAATATAAAGAGATAAAAGTACTGACTATTAAAGAAGACAGAATCAAAACCCTAATTTTTGTCTCTGAGAGTTTCTGCGTTTGAGAATCGAAGGGAAGGAGAACGAGCCAAAGGGGGAAGTAAAAGGAAAAGCAGATTCGGCAGAGGTTCGGAAGTCTAACGGCTCACCGAAGCAAAGTGAAGCGAAACAAAAGTGCAAAAATGAAATACCGAACCTGATTTTAAATATTAAGACGTTACCGGACGTGATTTTGAATCTGAACCACCAACACGGGGTCAGTTTGGTTGCTTTGAAATGGAATCCATGTTCCTGTCATGGATTTCTTATCCCGAAAAAGTACGTCAATTTTTTATTTATTTATTTTATTACTTGATGCAAAAAATTTTAAAAATTGTTAATTATCAGTGAGATTTATGTAAAATTCATTGCACTTATATCACATTAATTAGTAAACAAAAAGTCATAAGAAAACTTGGTTACTAATATTTTTAAAAACATAATTACTAAATATGTTTTTTTTATCTCCCAACATTTTTCTAATTAGAGTCCATAATAAACAAAATGACAATAATCCTATTATAACATAAGAATAAAATAATTTCAATTTTTTAAAAGTGCTATGTTTAATGTGATTCTTTTGTAAAAGATTAATTTCTAAGAAAATTTCAAATTTAGTTCAAATTTTCAAATTTTAGCTTCAAACATGCCTATAGAAAAAGTAAATTCATTTTCCCCATTGCTTCAATAATATGATAGGGACAACTCGTGTATGAAAAAAGAAATTGTAAAATTTATTTGTATAGAATTACAAGTCAGCATTATATCTCAATAATCATCTTTGGAAAAGCATAGAAATGAATCTAGGTAAGAACTATTGGATTAATAAAGTTCACTAACTATACATATGAGTAGCATAAACATCATCTCTAGAGTTAAGGCATACATATCCAGCAAAGAACAATCATTTGCAACACAAAAAATGACTGAACAACATGCCATTTAACAAGAACTTCAACCAGCTGAACTTTACATGTCTCATTTCTGCAACTTGACAAAAAGGAGTCGACTCGAGTAGAAGTTCCACACTAGGTCTGATGTTGCAGGTTTTGAACTACTTCCCGTTCAAACTACCCTGCAATTCTCAAATGTTAGGGACTCTAGTCAGATAATATTTTGACTATTTCAAGTATATACTTTATGCGGCGAAGCATTGTTAATATAATGAAAGTTGCAGTGCAACTGCTGTAATTGAATTACAATGAATATGTCAAAACTATGATCATGAATAAGCAATAAACTAGTCCATTCCCCAGTACAGCAAACTTTACTACGACTTGAGAAAAAACTGGTTAATTTTTGTCTTATTAGGACTTTTTTTTTTTCAAATTTGTCTTTGAAGAACCTAAAATAAATTAAATAAATAGATCAAATTTGAAAAAAATGCAAATAAAAAATAAGAAAAAGTTTTGAAACACATAAACCAATCACTAAACAAGACACAATCCTCATCCCATCTTTTTGTAGGTTCTATTCCCATGTGAGAGGGTTGCATCAATTCTGTGATTGGTTTTTGTACAAGTAAAATTGTGAAAATAAAACTAATTTTTTTTGGCAAAAGTTCACTTATTTCCATCATTAGAACTTCTTTTTTTCTTCAATTTTGTTCTTTAAATTTTTTTTTAAAAAAAAAAAAAAAGGTTCTTCAAGGCTAGAGGACCTTAAAATAAAAATGAAAATCAATAAATTAAAAAAAGAAAAAGAAAAAAAGTCCTAACAAGACGAATAAGCTGATTTTCCCTAGGCTTGGCTTAACCAAATCAGGCAGTTCACCCGAGTTTCATAAGTAGATGGAGAGCAGCAGCAACGGCAGACATGACCAAGTTGATCAGCCTGAGACATAATTGGAATATTTCAAGTTTGCAACGGGTTAGGAGAGTACATACTTAAAAGCAATCATTTGTTGTTGGCCTTGAAGAAGATACGAAGCTTTACTACGGACCTGCAAGGCAAAATTGTTTCATAAACGAATCACCAGAGTATAAAGAGATGAAAGGGGAGTTAAATTTCACACCTTTGATGCATAAGACCTCAAATCCGTGCTGGTGATCTGACAAGAGCAGTTGCGCAGATAAACACCCCACATTTCGTATATCACTGATTTGTCTTCTAGCATGGGGTTAGATAAAAGCCAGTTCTCAGTAAGAACCAAGAAAATGTACATTTTGAAAAGATCACAACTTTTGTCTTTCACATTAATCGAGATGAGTGATCTTAGGATCACTTCTGCATCAGTAACCTGCATAGAAGAAAATAAATATATACACATAAAATTTATTGACACACATAGAAAACGAAGTGGAAACACAGGCAGTATGTCTAACAGGCTTGTCTAAAATGGCCAAATGAAATCATAATGAGTAAATAGCAGGAAATTAGCCAATAAATGAAAATTTTACACGAGATTTTACATATATCAAGCATATTTCAGCAGAAATGACAGACGGATATAGACTACCTTGTTATCCAAACAAGCTACAAGGATTTGAAACGCCACTGCATGTCTGAGGTGTTTGCTCCGTGCATCAACTCCTGAAATGCTTTCCACAGTTCTCAAGCAGTTCATGTCCCTAGGTACTCTGTGTTCACAATATTGCATAGTCAGCTTACAAAAATTAAACGGGAAAAACAATAGGAAAAGCCTCAGTCAATACTCGAGTGTCATTAAGAGAAAATATTACTCAGATATGAACTTGAACAAGAGCATCTCACAAAAAATAATTAATCCAGGAACAAAACTCAATTGTTCAAGACCATATCGAAGTGTTGGTACAGTAGAAATTTCATATATTGAAAGGCAGAAGCTACTTTGTGACGTTGTACCAGCTTGCCACATCCAACAAAACGTTTGTCACGGCATTCTTGGCGGTCTGACAATTGGCTTGTCATGGTTATTATTACCACTACAATTCAAAACAGTACCAAATAATCATATACATATTTTTCCCACATCCATAGGTCCTGATGAGAAAACAGAAATCCCTTTATTACATTGAAGTTTATAGTGATGACTGGAAAAAAAAAAAAAAGTTGCTTTAACAAAGATTGCGTTCATAGAGTAGTGAAGGTAATAGTTCCTGTGGTAATGTTCGCCATGCCACTTTCATAAGCATGCAGGTAGTTTAGCCTTCTTTTCACCACTGGAGGGCATTGTACAAAATTTACAAATAATGTAGATGTTAGACCTACCTAAATCAAGATCAACCAACAACGCTAGCACTTAAATCTAATTATGTGCCTAATTTATTGATAACTTCAGAGCCAGGCTACTTTTTTCAGCAATCAAAGTAAGAAAATGTGTGCTCAACACAAAAGCTTCATGACCAACTGTAGATGAGACTCAGACCACATTGTTCTAATACAATATAGACGTTAATATATATTTTTTGAAAGTAATACAATATAGATATTACAGAAAGAATATCCAAAACATAATAAGAGTTCTAAGAGATGTGTAGGAATAGAAGCATTAATAAATAGAATGCAAGTGGGGAATACATAAAATATTGTTACACATTAAGCAAATCAATTGTGTTAGTGCTAACCTGCAAGCAATAGATTTTGCTACTGTCTCACAGCTGGTATTCCATTCATTGTCTGTGAAGAAATTAATAACTGAAAGCATGCATTCATACAAAATCACAGACAGGCCTACAAGCTGTCGATCTAAGAAAAGATTAATAATCAAAACCACCAACTCCTCTACTTCTGAAGTTGATAAGATTGAATATGTGCTCCTGCGAAGAAAAATGCCATGTCAACAATCAACATCCAAAGAACTCTTTAAATCCTTATATAGCTATCAATGGCTCATGAAATGCATCTTTTGCAGCAAGTATCAAAGAAATTGATTCAGTTACAACATTTTCCGGGTCGCAACTTTCAACTCAAAAAACAACCATACAAATGCCACAGCACCAACAAAACAAATACCACCAAAACCTTTAGGTTTCATTTGCTACATACCTTACTTGACAGCAAGAAGCTACGTACTTGATCCAAGCTCTTATATTTTGAGGTGGTCCCCCACAACCAAAATCTAAAACACAAGTTTAAGCAGATGTGAGAAAACCACCAACATCAAAGCTAATAGAAAACTAGAATTTCACATAAACTGATACAATATCTTTTCATAGAGAAAAACTAGTAGAAAAGAAAACACTATATGATGTTGCAATAAAACAGATGCTCTGCAAAATGATATGGCATGAAACAACATGAATTGAAGAAAGTATGATAAACAAACCACTGGGAAAATAGGCGAAAAGTATGAGGAAAAACTCAATGTCATTAATGAATGTTCAACCCAGTTCAGTTGGAAGTATGAAATTTTGCTTCTTATATCTACGTTAGACCTTAAGCCATCAATACTAATAGCAACTGTTCAAATTTATTTTTCTGTCCAAAAGTACAATACAATAGCTGATTCCTATATGTTACATCTAATGTCAATGCCAATTTAGTTTATATCCATGTGAGTAAGCTAAAAACAGTAGACAAGATGTCGGGAAGCTTCCTTTTTTAAATATCACAGAACATAGGTAAAATGTAAACCATTAACACAATCATATTACTTATGTGAATCATCATTATCATATAAGTTTAACAAGGACAACGATAGGAATGGTAGCAATCAACATACTAAGTCAAAAACAAATGAACTGCAATCTATACACCAGAAATGCTTGTCCTCCTTGATGCATACTTATAACTTAACATTTAGGTTCTTCTGATCCTGATCAAATAATGCGATTCTTATAGAGCAGGCAAATTATAATAGATCATTCAAATTAAACATGAGTTCATTATTGAGTTTACAGACACAAGAAGGAAATGCCTTCTATTGCCCACTTTGTCAAATTGGGCACACTATCACCCATTCACAATTCAATTTTTTACCAAGGTTTATAGGCCACAAGAAGCATGGAATTAGCATTTTGCTGGTTGTTATATAGTATATGACCAAGCATCTTAACAAACTGACAACAAATAATTGCATATGATCATAAATCTTCACTATTTTCCTCAGTTAAATATTTTCAATATTTCATAAGCACTACCAAACAAAAAGTTAATAAACCATATCGAACAGTAAATACACTTTTCCCCTTTCCACCACATGCATTTTATCTACCATCCATGTATTATGGACAAGAAAATAGCAAATTGAAGTTGTCAAATTACTTACCCACTGTGACAATTTCCATGTTGGATGAAAATTTGGATGGAGAATCCAATATAAAACCATAGATTTCAAGAGCTCCTTTTAGTTCAGAATAGTTTGGTAACCAGTCAATTTTAATCTGCAGTAGACCAACCTGAATAAGAATGATGATGGATAAACTATGGGTAGTGTAAAGAATACTAACCAAAGAAACTTATCAATTTAAACTATGCTGCAAGAAAACTTCACCTCAAATCATCCTCAGTAAAATAGAGATCTAGATTACCTCAGTTGTAGGTGAGAGAATAGTGGTCCAAAAGTCACAAGCAGATGTACTAAGCACTTCCTCCGAAGAGTATAACACTAACAATCCAGATAAAAGGACATGATCAAAATTATCATGTAACTATTAAATGGATGACCTTGGAAGAACAAAATACTTACTCAAACCAAACGTCCATGTTGCTATGGATTTTTCTACATGACCGCATGTATAAACCAATTTCAAGAGCCATCCATTCACCAATAACCTCTCAAGGAAAACTTCTCCTGCAATATTATAGCAAATGCATAACCTAAGATGCATGGATACATATACAAGACACATATACAGACACACCAACATGGCATACTTCAATAAAAAAAAGGTCCAAAACGACTGGGACATGGTATCAATCAATAACTATATATTTATATATACATGAAAATAATAACTAACTATTTCTTTTTTACATTACTAATATAGTTAACTGAAAAGAGCAGCTTGGCCCAATGGTGATACTTGTTAACTTCTCTGGTGAAGCAAGTTCAAGTCACAAAAACAGCCTCTCCAGTAATAGGGTAAGGTTTTAATGGGCTTTAGCGGTAGCCTTGTGCATTAGGTCACTTTCTAGTAAGAAATTCTTTTTCACATTCTACATAATGGATAAAAAGAGAGAACCAAAAAAGAACTCCTAATATCTATTTAGAAAGCTCTATTCATAAACAAATTGAAAGTTTTAAGTTTTAGAATTCCTAAATTTACGTAGTCTAAAGGAAGGGTTAGTACTTATGAATTCAATTTATTCAAAGTTGCATTGTGTCGTGTCTAAACAATAGACACATGTTTCCCAAGTGTCCAAAGTGTGTATGGTTTTATGAAAATTTTAAAATAATAATTATAGAACGTTTTCGATGCATGTCCATAGAGTGTTCAACGAGTGTCGGTGTTCGACACAGCACCTTCTTAGAAGTGTCTATGATTCTTAGTGATGTTTAGAAATCAAACCGAAGTTTGGCACAAACAGCAAACTAACATTTCACTGAAAAAACGCAACACATACATGTACTAAGAACACACTACCTTTGAAAAGAAGTCAACAAAAATTATTTGAAGGAAAAAAAATAAAAGGAAACCTTTCTCGACATCAAGCTCAACCAGTGAATTGATCTCATTGTTCATGAAAGACTGCAAAAGCCCACAGCTTCCAAGCTCATGAAATACCGCTGGTGGTCGAGTTTTCTGCAAATAATATAGAGGAAGCATATATTATAATATATGATATATCCCGCCTACAAAATTCCAATCAAAATCCTCATATAACTAATTATGTGTGAAGTTTTGGTTAGCTCACAGATAATACCTGATTTCCAAAAACTTGAAGACCCCAAATGGAGTTCTCATCCTCATCACTTATTTGTCCCATCTACATAAAAAATTTCATGTTAGTGATAAGTGATAACAGAAGCAGTAAGGAATATAAAAACCAAATATCAAGAGGGAAAAAAAAAATTGTGCCTCTTTTTGGCATTTTTCAACACATTCAGACAGTTTAGCTTCTCTATCATCCTTGTCCTCATCCTCGTCCGAATGATAGTTTTTTTGAGCCTTTGCCCGTTTTGATTTCATCTCTAGTTTTTTATTCTCCTTCAAGTAATCATTCACAAGATCATCCAAACCTATAACCTTTTTCCTGGCAAAGTTAATACAAATCATGACATCAAGTTAGACGCATCTTGCAATAAATAAGCACCATGATATTCTAATTTCAAATAACATACTCCAATCTTGAACTTACACTTAATTCTTGACTTTGTATAATGTGAAAATACATTGAATGAGAGTAAAGTATATTTTTATCCCTTGACCTTTGCTTTAATTGTCAATGTCATTGTCTGATTTTTAATTTTTCTATTGAGCCCTCTAACTTCCATAATTAAGTCCGCACGTTCCAACCCATTAACGGAGGCTCAACAAACTATCCTGACACATCATGTGCTTCCTACTTGACCTAAATTTAGTTTAAACTAAAAAAATTATAGCCTAAACAAGAGATACCACTGGAAGTTTAAAGTAAAGTTCCGTTTAAGGTGTAACAGATACAAGTTGACAAACAATGAAACAAAGTTAGATTTTTCACATACAATAATGTGCTGAACTAGATTAACTAAATTATGTAAGTCCAAATGCTCAAATAAAAAACCTAAAAGTTGGAGGATGAGATTGAAAGTTCGAGTAAAATTACAGTCAAAATAATAGTTTACCCACTACTTTAGTAACTTTACCTTTGACATATACGAATATACTTACATACAGGTGTTAACTATGTATACATAACTATAAAAAGTGAATACCTCCTGGATTCTTCAATTTAAGAAAGAAAATTAGCAATGCATAGACTAGTTAAGAATAAAGAAAGCAAGATAACAAGATCACATTACAAGAAGTTCTTTTGATGATAAATTTCAATTATGTAAGGCATCTTCAATTCACGACTCAAACCTGTATCAAATTTAAATTTGGGTAAAATCACTCAAAAAACACTCCACTCTTTCACCCAAACATGTACCAAATTAAGTTTTACTCAAATTTTTACACCTATCAAGGGAAACTCAAATGTTTACTCAAAATTTTCAATACTAGTTTGTGACTCACAAATTTACCATTAGTGAAGCTTTTACTCCAATTTATGGTTGTGGGCGGTTCGTATCAATCAAATAAAGCTTATTTGGGTAAAATTTTGAGTAAGGTCTGGAGATAGCCTAATGCTCTATTTGGTTAGAAGATTTGGAAAGAGAAAGATAAAAGATGTAAAATTAGATGAAATGCATGTATATTTTATTCCTATTTCACCTCCATATCATTTGTCTTTCCAAATCTCTCCTCAAATTCTCTAACCACACGCAGCATAAGGTTTTAAAAACCCTAAGAAAACAAATTTCCAATAATTATAGCAGTGATAACAACATGATAAAACCCTAGCCTAGGCAGTGTTTGGATCAGAAAAAATGAAAGAAAGAAACATACAAATTTCAAATGGGAATTAATTATCATTCACCAATTTAGGAGAATGGTCCTTCCAAATGGATAGGCATTTCATTACTTCACAAAATAATACCAGAAAATCAAACACCACCGAAATAACATATGAGTTTGAAAAAATAAATAAATAAATAAAAGTTAAAAGCTAGGGAATGAAAAAAAAAAAAAAAACCTTTTTTTGGTGGTGAGAGCAGGGGATTTGAGAAGTAAGTCTTCTGACTCGAAATCGAGAGGTCCATCAATGTCCATCTTCTCTACCTTTCTCTCTCCTAAACTCTCCTTCTATGCAGACAGAAGACACAGAAACTACGATCGCCGCTGTGAATTTAGAGAGAGAGAGCGAGGCACTGGGAGGGAAGAGCAATTTGGAACACCTTTTTCTGACAAGTTTCGGAACCGATTAATAATTTTTTAATTAAAATATGAAAAAAAAAAATTAGAAAAAATTACTCAGGTATCTTATTTGGAGAAATATTAATTAATTTAGGCCTAATTTGGAGTGTATCAAAAAAAGTTAAAAAATTTTAAAATTTAAAAATTTAAAAAAAAAATAAAAAAGTTATAACTATTCATAAATTAAAAATATTAAAAAATTAAAATACATAATATTTTAATTAAACAAAATTTACACAATTTACACAGCTGAAATGATCTTGTACTGCCGTGAGAGAAAAAAAAAAATTACATATATAAAAGCACTAAGTTTGATGGAAATGTTGGGCTTGTGGGCGCCCACCATGAGTCCCGTTTTGATAATTCGAACCGTTCAATATGTAGAATTCGTCCAGAACTATATGCTTGTAAAAAATCACATTGATCGGAAATCGGTAACTATATGATCAAATCAGTTTTGTATAAAAAATAGATGTGTATAATTAACAGTCGACAAGAAAAATTAACACGAGCAGATAGCTATTGATATCCAATCAACGTAATTTTTTATAAGCATATAGTACTCGACAAGTTCAACACGTTCAACGGTTCCGATTAGTAAAACGGGACCCGTGGTGGGCCCCCATGGGCCGAACAGCACCGTCCAATTTATGTCCGAAAAGGAGAGAATCAATCTCCTACACTATGCCCTCTGCCGCGCTACCCCTCATGCTTTCGACCGTACGGGTTATTCCATCTATAACTTCCCCTATACACTTATTTATATAATTTTTTAATACACATTTTTTTATAAAAAGTCAAAAAATTAACCTAAACCTTCATATTTTTTCCCTTAACTTTTTAGTGTAAGGGATTGTTTGGAGTGTCCTAAATAAGTGTATTTTTTGTCTTTTTAGACTAAAAAGTTGAGGTTGAAAATATGAATATTTGAGTTAATTTTTGACTTTTTATGAAAAAATGTGTATTAAAAAATTATATAAATTAATGTGTAGGGGGAAATTAGTATTGAGAGTTGTGCAGCCGTAATTGTTGACTTTTGATAAATAGTGATAACTTTTTAACTTTTTGAGTAATTTTTTGATTTTTTGACTTTTTTGAGACTTTCTAAACTTGGCCTAAAAAGACAAAAAGTACACTTATTTAGAACACCCCAAATAACCCCTTAGTCATACATGTGTTTTTTTATAAATTAGTGAGAATTTTTTTTTAAGGTCCCTAATAATAGTAATTTAAAGGATAGAGGATACCAAAAAAATGAATGATGTATCAGGTCCCTCAACTGGAACGTGCGCATTTTTAATTCTTTCTTTGACCAAAATACCCTTCACAAATCAACTGAGAACACTCCACTTTCAACGACTCAGTTCCATTTCAAAAATCCAACCATCTTCATGAGCAACAGAACAAGAGAATTAGGGTTTCACAATCATCTTCACTATCAACATTACGGTTTCATTATCTTCTGCCAAAATCTTTTTCATTCCTTCTTCACAAATTTCTCTGACCTGTTTTCTCAGTTCATCGTCATCTCAGTTCATCTTCATCTCATTGCATTTTCATCTTAGGACATATCAGTTCGTAATTAGGGTTTCATCATCACTCTATTAAGTTTTTTACAATCCAACAAGTTTTTCTCTAGAAACATAGTTAATTGCATATTATATTAGCCTTCCATTTATTAGGGTTTCAATTTCGCAATAAAAAGTTACAAGAATTTGAAAATTTTATTTCTCTGAGTTTTAAACTTAATCTTGAAGATGTTTGTGTGATTTTGTCTGTAAATTACTCTGTCATTTGAATTTCTCTGATATTGGCTTGATCTATGTTTTTTCTTTGAATTTTCTCTGGCATGTTTATTCCCCCATTTTCTCTGGCATGGTTAATTTCTCTGTATTTCTCTATGTAATTTTCAAATACAATTCACTCAAATTTCTCTGTTTTATTAATTTATCTGGCTTGCCATGTTTAATTTTCTCTGGCATATATCATTTTCATTTTCTATGCTTGCTACATTTATGTTTCTTTCTTGAATTTTCTCTGGCTATATTTTACATCTATATGTAATATTACTCCGTTGTCTGTGTCTAAGTTTCTTTGGCATTTATAATTTCTCTGGCCACATCACTTTTCTCCCTTGTGTGTCTCTGTTATGTTTAAATTTCTCTGGTTATGTATGCAAATTTCTCTGGCATTTTAATATTATGGAATAGAAATTTTTTCTAGAATGTGTTTGAATTTTCTCTAGCTATATTTTACATCGATATGTAATATTATTCTCGTGTCTGTGTCTAAATTTCTTCGACATTTATAATTTTCTCTGGTCATATCACTTTTCTCCCTTGTATGTCTCTGTCAAGTTTAAATTTATCTGGTTGTGTATGTAAATTTCTCTGGCATATTAATATTATGGATTGAAAATTTTCTCTGGAATTTGTAATTTTCTCTAGAATGTGTTTGAATTTTCTCTAGCTATATTTTACATCTATACGTAATATTATTCTCTTGTTTGTGTCTAAATTTTTTTGGCATTTATAATTTTCTTTAACCATATCATTTTTCTCCATTGTGTGTCTCTGTCAAGTTTAAATTTCTCTAGATATGTATGTAAATTTCTCCAGCATTTTAATATTATGGAATATAAATTTTCTTTGGAATGTGTAATTTTCTCTAGAATGTGTTTGAATTTTCTTTGGCATTTTCATTTTCTGTGGTTGCTAGATTTATGTTTCTTTCTTGAATTTTCTTTGGCTATATTTTACATCTATATGTAATTTTTATCAATTTTTAAAATTTTTTCTACCATGTTTATGTTGCTTTGTTTATTTTCTCTGGGAATGGAAATTATCCATGGCAACATGTATTCTACACGAAAACACTTAGGGTGTATTTGGTTTATGTTTGTAGAGTAGTTTTTGAGATAAAAAATATGAAAACTTGTTTGGTTTGCCTTTTTTCAGAAATGATTTTGGAAAATTATTTTGGGGAGAGAGTTTAAAAAAAGTAATTGACTTGATGTGTATAAGACAAAGAGTGATTTTGGAAAGTAGATAACCAAACAAAATTTTGAGATTTTTTTTGGAAAAATTTGTTTGGTTTGATTACTCTTGAAAATTTGTTTGTAGAGAATTTTTTCCAAAAATTTTTCTGAAAAACAAACCAAACAAGGCCTTAGTATTCTATTGTAGGAATGGCAACGGGGCGGGGTGGGGCGGGCCAAGGATCGCCCTCCCGTCTCGGATCCCTGAAGCTACAAAACTCCCCATCCTCGTCCCCAATCCCTGACGGGAAACCCATCACCCCCACCCCTGCCCCCGTCCCCTAATGGGGATCGGGTTTCCCCGACCCCGGAAAATCCCCGCTCACCAATAGCATCATCAACAACAACATCATTTTCATCAATAACAACATCATCAACGGCAACAAAGAACAAAAGAAATGGAGACAGATAGAGACACATACATGTAACACACAAACATGCATGTATACATATACACAGTAACAGATAGACATACATGTAATACACAGTTCTGAGATGTGAGATGTAAGAACAAGGAAGTTGACAGTGGCGGAATCTGCTCATATCTGCCCAAATTTGCCATGGCGGAAACCAAAGCCGGAGTATGAAGGCTCGGTGGTGGCGCGAAGGAGGAGGAGGCGAGGGTGTGCATACTGTCGCGGAGGAGGAGACGACGCCGTCACCATTGCGGAGAGAAGAGTGAGTGAGAGAGAGCTGTCGCTGACTGCAGAGAGCAAAGTGAGTGAGAGAGAGTTGCCTGTGAAGAGAAAAAAGAGTAGAGAGAGAGGAGTGGCTGTTCTTATTTTTGTGTGACAGTGTAATGTAAGTCAACCAAACCCTAAACTAAACACACACACACACACACACACACACACACACATCTATATAATGAGGGAGAAGTGTTTTTGAAAATGTATAAAATGTATGTGAGATACATTTTAATCCAATGACTGAGATTAATTCCAACTTTATATCAACGGTTCAGATCAATGGATCTCCCGCCCAAAAGACTTCTCTCCCTAAAAGCATCGTTGTTGCCTTCCCACCTACCCATGTCTGCCTCCCCCCTTCCCTCTCTCTCCCTCTCCCTCTCCCTCTCTGTTCTTCTTCTTGAATACTTCTTCTCATCTCTCTTTTCTCTTGCGATGACCACCGCCGTCGCGACACCGACGACCACTGACCACCAACCACCTCTCCTCTCCCTCGCTGGAGACCCAAATCGGAACCCTTTATTCCTGTCCTCCTCCCTCTCTCCCAACCATAACCTTAATCCCTTCATCTCTCGCTCTCTCATCCCCCTTCATCACTTTAGGGCTTTATTCCTGTACTCTGTTTTTTACTTGCATTTTGCTCATTTTTCTCTCTCTCTCTCTTTCTCCCTCATCCCCCTTCATCATTTTTTGTTGTGGGTTTTAGTATAACTTGGTTCGATTCATAAAGTTGGTTCAGAAAGCATTGATATATGATCTTCTTCTTCTGGTAATGTACTCTGTTTTTTTTTTTAAAGTATAAAAGTGTGGGTTTCCTACCATATTTCGCTGTGTTATGGTGATTAGGGCCATTCCTGTGTATTTTAAAGTTTTAATCTATATATATTTGATGAGTTTTTGAGAATGGATTTTTGAGATTCAAGTTTTTTTTTTTTAATGTTTGATTTTATTTTGCTTTTTTGTTTTTAGGGGTTTTCCTGTTTGGTTGAAGTATGTTCCAAATGATGGAGGATGAAAAGTTGTTTGAGTCTCAAGGATGAGAAGTATGTTCCTATGTGGCTTTTTGTGTTTCTTTGCCTCTTTTTCCATAATAAAGTTTATTTTTTTGTATATCATGCAGTGATTACCTAAATGCAGTGGTTATCTGAATTTGTATATCATAAAGTTTCTTTGCCTCTTTTGAAATGTATAATAGCTTCGATAAAGTGGTTATCTGATTTCAATGCTTTTTTGTGAAGTAGATTGTTAAATTGATTATTAGGGGAAGATTTCAATGCTT